TTATAATTTTTTTTCAGAAAAGGTGGTGTCTATTTACTTCTGACCACCCTGTGTACACCCATACTAAATAAGTTAGTAAATGTATCTATATAGCTAATTAGAAAGAATTTAAACAAGCTTGAAATAATATATTATTTAATATAGGGACATTTTGTTTAATAAGTAGATTTTCTTTAATCAGAGATTCAAAATCTGTGCATAACTAAAACTTATTCACATGTATTATCTATTGTGGAGTGACAAGAGTTTAAATATTTTAGAAAGTTAGGTATATATATATATATATATATGTGTGTGTGTGTGTGTGTGATCTTTAAAACGAAATATTAACAAAAGTGTCATGAACATACCTTCTATAGTGGGTTGATTTAAATTCATCCGGAGAGTTTTCAAGCCATGATTGCTCGTAGTGCCAGAGAAAAGCTATGGTCGGGCTTACAACTTATCTAATCCTAATATCTTCCAAAGCCCTGTTATAGTGTATTGGGAGTGAGTATTAATCCTCAAACTATTGTGGTACAAATTTATGACCATGTAAGGTCAATAAATGGCAGTGATTGCATTATTAATGTTTTAATGAAATGTCGACTGTAATTCACTGTAAATCTAAGGAGCAGCAGAGTGATGGGCAGAGCACAGATAGCCCATTGTGCAGCTTTGTGCTTAACGTCAAACAAACAAACAAACAGTCTCTGATTTTCATAATTTGATCATTTTAATGTTGATGCCTGATATGTTTGAAAACTTTAAAATATGTTTCTTCTCCATTCAAGTATGAAATAGTTTACCATTGTTTAATTTCTAAAATTTTGATCCGGGCGTGCCTAGAATGTGAATCCAAAGGTTCGCGATCCGTTGCCGCAGAAAAGCGCACGGCGTTTTGGGGTCATGGGTGTGCTCATCGATCGGTCAAGAGTAGTCTAAGAATTGACGGTGGGTGCTGCCTTTCCTCTAGGCTATGAGCTATATATTAGAGTTGGTTATGCGCAAATTGTCCTTGTGTAGCTTTTTACAAAATTCTGAAACAATTAAACAAATCTAAAATCTTATAGCAATAGATCAGGACTGTTAGTTCAAAAGTATACACCTGTGAGGGTTCGGAGATAATTGCAGTAGGTTTCAAAAGTATACACCTGTGAGGGTTCGGAGATAATTGCAGTAGGTTTCAAAAGAAATAATTTTCGTATGAAAATAATGATTGACAAAGACCAATCAAAGAATCTTCGTCCGTCTCACCGAAGAAACGTTTAAAACGTATAAAACGTTTTAGATAAGATTTATTTTGAGATTTTCAAATAAAAATTTAAGTAACCATTTTCATGTGATACTTCAATAGACAATGTTTCAAAGCACTTTTAAACTTGTTTACTGAAATAAACGCAATTTTTATAATATTTATTGAAATAAACACTATTTTTTAAATAACATAATTTTTACCTAGTTTGATTTGTGAAAATTATGGATCAGAACTTGTAATCTGTAAATATACGGTTCCATTCAGTTTAACGTATCAAGCTATAATGGATACGAATAAATCAGGGTAAAATAACTTACGACTTACTTCAAACAATTTAAGAAATATAGGAAAAAAAGCTTTCAGATAAAGCAACAAAGAGTAGAGAACAAAACCAAATTTCTAGACGTTATTAGAATGAATTAGCTGAACTGTTATACACTTAACATGTCTAAAACATGACTATTATTTTAGTCTTATTACAAACGTGATAATTTTATTGTATTAATAAAAAGGAAAACTATGGTTTGATGATCAGTTAACTTATTTTTCAACAATATTTTATATAGTATAAACTAGTTTTCAATGTAGTATAAACTGTGTATTTTTTGTTTCCAGGTGCATTCTTAGTTCCGTACTTGCTGACTCTGTTTCTGGCAGGTATACCCACTTTCTTCTTGGAAACATCTTTAGGCCAGTTCTTAAGTATCGGTGGCCTCGGAGTATGGAAGATTTGTCCAATTTTTAAAGGTATTTCTCCCTTTATTTTATGTCGGATGTAGCCTACTTAGTAGCTAAGGTGTCGGACTATTGATTCGAGGATCCTTGGTTAGAGTCCCTTTGTCGCAAAATTGCGTTCTACACTTCTATCAGAGTAGCCAAAAAATTGGTGGTGGATCTCATATGTTTTTGTTCGCGGTTCACCTCATTTTTTTATTATTATTAACTCAGCGGTCCACATGGGAATCTATAAAGTATGCTGCCAATTCCTTTCCTTAATTATGGATCCTTTCCATGAACCACCTAAAAGAGCCTTTGGACCACCAACTGACAACCGCTGCTGTTTATCAGTTCAAAATTAGGGACTACTAGCCCAGATAGCCCTTGTGTAACTTTGCACGAATATATAAACAAACACATTATTTATCTTAATTATAGTTTATCTCAGGATTCTAATCGCGGTAAGAACACAAGCATAATTATGAACATATGAGTATTAAAGCATCAATTACTGTTATGTGTCTAAAATATATCTAGCGATTTCAAAACGTTCCAAAGAGCTTGAACTTAAAAAAAGAATATGCTGGTCTAAGTCAGATCAGCTACATTGACTACAAATAAATGAAAATTGAAAGTGTTATCCAATGACTGTTTTACAAATTTGCAATAACAGGTTAGCTATTGAACTCGTTTTATTAACCCTTAAATTACCAAGTGAAAATAGTAATTAGTGAGATTAATTGCAATAGGGCCAATATTTTCTTTAAGCTTTGCGTGAGTTGCATATTATTATGGACCTTGTAACTACCAATTTCATGGAGACACAAACAGTTTGTGAAACATGAATAACTTATGTCAAGTTGTCCTAGGGTTAAGTTGTGACCGAATCTATTAACCAAAAGAGTGTCATTTATACATAGACACAGTGTAGATAGCCCATTGTGGAGCTTTGCACTAAACAACAAAACAAACTTTTTCATTTTCTTCAATGATGATAGCATGTCTTCTAAATGAAAACAATTTTAATCTTATTCAAATTTAAAGTTCACTCTAAAATCAATATTTTATTAATGTTTAGGATAAAGGTTACACAATGGAGATTTCATAATTTATATACATTTGTTGGTATATGGCAATAATATGGACAAAGAGCATTTAGGAATGTTCCGTTTCAATGTTTAAGGCTATTGACTTAAAAAAATAATCACATATGTTGTTACCAGCAATAGTATTTGGAAAGTCAGTAATTATATTTCTGTGATACACTTCACACTCAGCCTTTCCATTATCACTGTTTATTAATCTATATAAAAACAAAAGCAAGTTGATAATCTGATTTTCATGTTTATGATGATTTAAGTTGACAAAAGTATCATAAACATACCTTCGATGATATACAGGCTTAAAAAACAATCACCTACCGTTTTTCATGAGAGCGAACAAATGAGCAGACGAATAACAACACCATCAATTTGGTCAAACAGTGTGTTATCAAATAAGGTATGAAATTCTTTGAAGACAAAGTTCAGCACTTTATATTACAAGATAAATAAAAAACTGGGAATTTAAAACCTGCAAATAGGGATCGTAAAAAAAACGAGGAAACGAGGCTGGAGATACTGTAGACATTATTAATAAACATTATATTAAATTATTGAATTACATTAAATAAACCCCCGTGTCTTTTGAAGTAATTTTTCTACGAATGTGTGTAATAAGATTTAATATTATGTATATTGTTCTTTTCTACTCCTTCACTCACACATATTATAGGGGTTGGCTCCCTAAAGACACCGATTGTGTAGAGTACAAAGCATTGAGTTAGAGTCACCTACTGTTCATCTATTATTGGCTGCTTGACCATGTACTTAAGCTTTTTAAAGAAACACCACATAGTTGCAAGAAAGCTAAATATCAAGGGGATAATGATAACATTTTTAACACTAGAATTATGATGCTTTTTTAGCTTAGGTAAAATATAGAACAAACAAATTGACTTTTCAATACCCTACGACCTTCGCAGTACCTTATTTAGTATTCTACAAAATGTTTCGATGCAATACGCCAAGCCGTTTTTGCTGTATACTAGAAAAAGATAGAAATAAAATAATAATTTGAACAATTGAGTAGTTTTGGTGGATTTTCGATTCGTTCTAGGATGTGGCTCATGATTATCATTTTGATACAAAAGATTCACTGTTGTTACAAGATGTTTTGAAGAGGAATATCAGTGTACTAAGGCTCTACATCAAAATTTACACAATGAACATTATCATTGGATTTTTAAATTTTACATTTCCTCATAAAAATAAATTATTTGTAATAGTGCATGCATTATGTATAAGATGTTCAAAAAACTCAAGCAAAAAGCCTGCTAGTTCATGGTCATGTTTGCTTATATAAGAAGCTAAAGATTCAACAAGATAATCTTCTTTATGTACGTTTGGAACTCCATATGAAATACCTGGGTGACAACCATCTGGCCTTACACTAAAATATTATTCATGTTTTAACAACTAATAAATTTTAGATTTTCATAAATAATTCAAAAACTTCGATTCTCTGCTTTTAGTGGAATCTATTTTCAGGGTATGGTCTGGTCTGGTCGTTAGGACGATCAACTCGCAATCTATGGGTCGTGGGCTCGAAATCTGTTTCAAACATTTTCATTTATGGGGCGTTATAATGTGACGGCCAGTCCCACTAATCGTTGGTAAAGAGTAGTTCAAGAGTTAACAGGGGTGCTGCCAGCCGGTTGCCTTCCCTCTGGTTAGCAGCTCAAAATTAGGGAAGACTACAGACAGTCTTAGCATTTTGTCATCAAACAAACAAGGATCTATTTTCAACTTAAATTCTATTTTATAATTCAAAATATTCTCTATTTCATAATAATAATCTTTATTCAATATGGCTCTACTAATTCCCTTATCAGTTTTTATTATAAGTATTTTGTCATTTTTTCTAAGAGTTTTTATGGTCTTTTCTAAGATTAGCAAATATATCTTTGTTGAAATAGAATAGGCTCTACCAGTTGAATTATAATGTTATAAATTATATCAACGCTTGTACTGTCCCTCGCCAGTTTGTTCCTTTGCTATCATGAAAAACGGCAGTTAAAGACTGTCCTTATGAGTTTTAAACCTGTATATTATCGGAAGTATGTTTATGATACGTATGTCAAATTCAATTATTTCAATGATCTGAACATATTGGTCGGTGTTTTAAGTACCTTAAAAGTTAAGACAGTGGTTTAAATTTCATCATCAGAAATATCACCTTGATGGACACACAAAAGTAGTGCAAGTCTGAGTAAGAAGTGCAATATCATAATACATTTATTGGCTTAGACTTTAATTATGACAGTTTTGTTTCAACTTTGTTTAAAATAAATTTGATTAAAATGTTGATTAATCATGCTTATAAAATCATTAGCAATTATGAATATGTATACAAGGAATTTGAAAGCACTAACATATTTTTAAGTAGAATAGTTTCCAAATAACGTTGGTGATAATTTCATAGGTAGTTATTTGTCAGTAATTTTGAACACCTAAAATGGAACGTTTCTGTTAGTTATATTGCTTTACACAGGTAAAGAAAAAGACATATTTATTGTGAAAAATTAATTTTTAACCATTTTTTCATAGAGCGGATCTAGCGTCTAATATTGGATAAACCCACTTACTGGGTGGAGAAGGGGGGTGTGTGCTAAAAGTGGATGAAGGAACAAAGAAAACTAATTCCATCATCCATTTGAGATTATGGTAGTGTAAGCAAGGGGATAGACATGGCTCAACTATTTAAAAAATGAGGTGTAAAAATTCCCTGGTCCCAAGTCTCCGACACCCCTTTCTTGGCAATCTCGCAAGGCATTTGTTCTTGAGCTTGTGTTTTATCGGGAACACAAGAAAATTGTTTGGACAAATAAAATACTTTGCTTGACAAAGTAGGCCAAAGGGATAGGCGCCTAACGAGGCAATGACCATAAGTGCAATTTGCATAGGAACGACTTTTCATCCTGTGTAGGCCACACGTATTTTCTTATTAATGTATATATAATCTAATTATAAAGTGTACATTATATAGCTTTTAACATTCTATAAAGATAAACATTTGAATCGAAACGAAAGCCTACTTATGATCTTAAAAACAGTTTTAATACTTGTATTTATACAATTACATGTAACAACTGTAGGATTTTTTGGTAGACGGCCCCTTGATCCTCCCCACCAGTGCTTATTGTCTATTGATTTAAAAGTTAACTTTGAAACTGCATGTAAATTACAATTTTCTTTTTCAGTTTTGAAGATAAAATATCAGCATTAAAAATATTTATTGTAGTGTATGAATTTAAATATCCTAGATGTAGTTCTAGGAGTATTAGTTAAAAAATGTTTCATCATTGATAGTTATAATGATTTTTAGTCATCCCAATGCCGATAGAAGTTCTCAATTAATAATGAGGATTAATCGCACTTTATAAGAACAATGTTACTGCTTCCTTTCAACACTTAAAACTACTTCCTCCTTCATCGGGGTTAATGGTACTTTATAAGAACAACAGTACTTGTTCCTTGCTATACTTAAAGTTATTTCTTCCATCATCGGGGTTAATCGCACTTTACAAAAACAATATTACTGGTTCCTTTCAACACTTAAAACTACTTCCTCCTTCATCGGGGTTAATGGTACTTTATAAGAACAACAGTACTGGTTCCTTGCTATACTTAAAGTTATTTCTTCCATTATCGGGGGTTAATCGCACTTTATAAGAACAATGTTAATGGTTCTTTGTTACACTTAAAACTACTTCCTCCTTCATCGAATATGCTCATTCTGATGATAATGATTAGGCAATATTGCCAGACCTTGCACTTTACATTTCAACAAGCTTCTGCAAAGGATGGTGAAGTTAGTTTTGACCACACATCTTGACAAACTTTCCATAGGCCATTAACTGTATGTAGACATTGGCTTTCAAGAAAAGTTTAATTAAGCCCATTACAGACACAGAAGTTCAATAGAACTCCAACGGGAGACATGGTGGGCATGTGGTCAAAGGGGATTACTGTGGTCCCAGTTTTTCGGCTTTCTCATGAAAAACACCGTTAATTACGAGATGTATCGAGAAGCTTGTAAACGTTTGCCTGTAAACCTTCGCCAACTTTCAAATCTTTGTCATTCCTAATCACAGTCTTCATTTTGTAGATGATTACGTTGCTCCAGATTAGCTTATGATATGGTTTTGAAGTCTACTGCTGTCCTCAGGGCTTTCCCGAACGAGTCTTTTTATTCCTGAGGAGATCAAGAAATTATCTTTTTTTTCGAGGTCTTGTGACCTTTTCGCACTACATTATTTCAACAATCTCACTATATGAATATCCTTCCGTACAAATGGCTTGGCTTTTCCTCCAGCCGTAATTCGACTCGGCATTGTACCGATAAATGGTGAAGAATTTGAACCGAATATGTAGACGCTAAACAGTGGTACTATAACTTGCATCCGCAGCGACTCAAAACTGCAATAGTTTGTACAAATAATGGTTATAAAGTGCGATTAAACACCTTGTGTAGGTTTGCATAAAGTCACCGTTAAAAAAATAATAACAATCGAAAACTAAACTACTTTAGTTGGATTTTAAGAATGCCCGGGAATCTAAAATATTAAACAGCATTAAGGTATAATATAACGATTTTATTTCAAAAGGATATTAAAGTATGATGTTTCTTTCTTGTCTTGTATACAAAAATCATAATATTATTTTCAGTGAATTGAAGTTTTTAAAGTTAAGAATTCTGAATTAATTAACCAAGAAATGGTCATTCTTTGGATTTTGGAAGATTATAAAAAGATTTCAGTCAAATGGTAACGTTTTGTATTCTTGATTTTTATCGTTTTTTTTGTAATTTATTAAGGAGTTGGGTATGCTGCAGCAATGATGGCCTTTTGGTTAAACGCATATTACATTGTGGTATTGGCTTGGGCTATCTATTATATTGTGTCTTCGTTGGACTGGGACGTCCCCTGGCGGACTTGTGACAACTGGTGGAATTCTATCTTTTGTATGTCGGAGTACGATCGAGTTCAGCCCAACTGTACGGGTATTCCAGACCAGGATCCAGCTTTGTGTGCTTACAACTTGTCCAATCCTAATCTTTTCCAAAGCCCCGTCAAGGAGTATTGGGAGTGAGTATCAAACCTCAAACTACTGTGATATAAATTTACGACCATGAAAGATAAATAAATGACATTGGTTGCAGTATTAATATTTTAATCAAATGTCCCAGAGTTATGTGTTTTGTTTGCCAACTTTTCGTCATATTTTTACCAGCCTATATATACATGTATATATATACATATATATATATATTGCTTACACTACACACTATTCAGGTAATTCTTAAGAATAGGTGATGGGATAATTCTATCAATACACATAATTATTCCAAGGCTGATAAATACGCTAAAGGTAAATTTCTTTCGCTACAAATATTATTCAACAATACTTATGAGTATGCGATTGACTATCTTCCTGAACGCACTCGTACACATTCTGTTTTACAATTGTGAACAATACCTGATGGAGTGTACATTCATAATATTAAGGCTAAAACCTCCTAATTTTCGACCATTAGAAGTTCCTTTGTAATATGGAGAGCAAATTATTTAGTGATATTTGTTGGTTAGTATTATTATTTGTTTTGCTGGTCATTAATTATGTTATTTTGCTCCAACTTCAGCTTTCTCGACCACATTTTTTTCTGTGGAATCACGATAGATAATATGAATTAAACATTTGAGTATAAAAACGAATAAACGATAGACAGAAAAT